GGGGGATTCTCCCGCTTGTCACTCACAGAATGCGACTATCTTCTGCATCTGCCACAGGCGGAGAGATGCAGCGGCTGCGCACAGCAATTCTGCGCGAATGAAATGTGAATGCATCAAGTGCATAAGAAGTCGGTTTGACCTTAGCCAAAGTCGCACGATGTAATCGCATTTGCATGGCTGTTTAACTTAATGTGTATCTGAAACGGAAAATTTGTGCTCACAAAGAGCATGTGTTGAGCGGTTAATGAAGTCCTCTTCTGATTGAAACTGCATTCTCATTTTATTGTTTCAGGATTTTAAAGGTCTGCGCCTGACACCGAAGGAGAAAGGGCATTCCTTATTCTCGTCAATTTAGCAACCGTTAAATACGGTGATTCAGCACTCCTTTAATTTCAAACAATGGGAGGTGAGGCATGTGAGTGATCATCGTGATCCCCTTCATTGATAGCAAGAAATCACAAGACCGAATAGGCGTACATAGATTAAAGGTCAAAACACGGTCAAGGGAAGACAATGGCACTGCTACTCTTGACGAGGGATTTTTTTAGCTAGACAACTAACCATATTTACTACCACCTCTTCTCTGTCATGTCCTGTTTTTGAGTGCATGCTACGTCTTTTTTATAAAAAAAAGATTAAAAAAAACGCTGGGTGGGTTTGTTATACGACATGGAAGTGCTTAACCTACGACTGTGAATAAAATTTAAAACTTGGGGAAAAAGTTTCTTCGACATGTTCGACAGGTGTAGGACGACATGACACCTCTCTGCCTATGGTCCAACTTGTCTGCCTTTACGATGCTGCCCAATCACACAAAGCGACACTTTGTAGTAAAGCAAGAATTTTACCTAAAGTTGATAAGCCTTCATGTAGCAGGATTGCTATGGCACCTTTTAATCCGCGGGGCTTTTCCACGATTCACGGACCTAATTCCCGTTACTAGTCTCGCATTTCCTCTGTAGAAATAAAAGAGCTAAGTGTGGATCAGTAAATCTTGTGATCTTTCGGATCAGCTCAAGCGCTACACTGATGACAGCGTGGTGAGATATTTTTGACGCTTTTACTATGCAAAGGAGGGGACAACTTTGTCAATGTCGCCAAGAAATTAGCTGACTAGCTTTCAGAGTGTCAAGGGAAGTAAGGCATCTGCTGTGGATGGCTAGATCCGTGGAGAGGCCCCAGGAAAGCAACATTAGCCGATTGACAAATACGTCTATCTCGCAGTCCCCGACATGACTAGTGGAGCAGCGAGACCAACAATGAGTTGCCCAAGCGAAAGAGACTAGTTGTGGTACGTCTCCAAAAGCAATAAAATAGAAGGATGTGCTGCTGATAAACGGTCAAGCGGCATCAAAACAGTCGTGAATGCAATTAAGACCGAATTTAATCAAATGGGACTTGCCGTTAAGTGCAATCGAAAAAGTATTCCCTTTGTAACATGTCGTCCAGCCCTACGCAATGCATCTGGACTAAAAACCAAATTGTGTAAAGCTCTTCACAAGAAATTTTGGTGACTATTCCCCATACTTTTTGGTCACATCTGTTTTCTAATCATCAGACGAATCCAGCCATCACGACCTCCGGGATCAACTGTTTTCAGTGGTGCATATGTACTGGGAAGAGGATGTACTAGTGCAAGGAGGTGAATGAGTTGGGGGGGCAAGAATCGGTAAAGCCCACGATGTTAGGGTTAAGGCGTATGGAGTCAACCCGCCATAAATCAACCACACACAAACACAGGAATGCACACACAACCATGGTGGCTGCGACCGTGGGGGCCCTTCAGCCATTAGTCATCAGGGGATGCAGCCGTCCCTGCCCCTCTCTCTGTGTCTGCTTCACGTTCTACGTGGCAAGAAATAGCGCACCTCGAAAAAACCAATCCAAAGACAAACGAGCCTGCTCGACATCTATAAATGATTGAAATATGTGTGGACTGTTATGAAGTGGAAATCAAGATGCACTTTTAGTGGATCGCCCTTTAAGGTTAGTGGAAAAAGGAGCCGACTTTACTTCTAAGAATTGTTTTTTTTTTCTCCAGCTTATTTACCGACCTTGAGGGCTTACTGAAAACTATGCAATCTTTCCCCTTCAACTTTTAGAAGCTTTCAGTTCATTTACCGTGGCCTCAGCTCAGGTCTCCCAAGGCTGAAATTGTTCATCAGACGAGAATCTTTCAAATCGTTTACTGGCTGTCGACTCCCTCGCCCACCAAACATTTCACCGCTTGAAATTTTCAGTAGCAGACATTCATCTGGTGCACACTTTTCCCAACTCAAAAAAGACAGATCCAGCACACAATCAGTTTTTTTTTACACCAGCTCAAATTTTGATATCTACGCATGCCCAAGGCGATAAATTTTTGCTCCTGGAATACATAGTTTGCCCACCCACAAGACGTCATTTTATTCCAGGATTAACGTGTTCACTACTACCAATGCCTCGGGATTCTCATCTAACCCCAGCATAGAATGGCCCTGACCTGCAAGCATTTATACTTTTTCACTTGTGACAACTAATTTGATCAGTCGGAAAAGACATCTGAGATGCGGTGGTCAATTTTCGCCTGGGATCCTGGTCGTGAACGTGTTGAAATCGCAAAAATGGGAGCAAGCAACGTCTGGCGACGGTGGGGTACGTTTATTAGTCGAAGAAGTACACCATTCTTTGGAGTTTTAAGCATCTCCAACCAATCCATCAATAGAGTTGGCAGCACTGATTTCACTTTTTTTTAATTCCAACACAGATTTACAGTCCAAGAAATGGCAGCCAAGTGCAAGTGAATGGGGCCGCCGTTTGTTCCAGCATGCGGTAATGACTTTGAGGCCACTCGATAGGGTGTGGTTTCTAAATATATCCTCATCTTTAAACTAGTAGTTGAGTAAATATCGAGGGAGATGTATGACTTGGATTGACAGATGCTCGGGAGGCCAAAGTCAGAGTAAATTCAATGAGATTTTATTTACAGGTAGTGATCTTGGTTATCGTCGCCTTAAAAATAATCACAGTGATTCTCAGGTCACATTCCAGCCTTCGCCAGAAATGTGTCCACTGTTACAATGAAGAGAATAAATGCACTCGACAAAGGGTTAAAAAAATTTCGGGTTTATTTGGAACTATAACCACCAAATTCCAATGCCGCTTAACTTCCCTTAAAGCCATGAGCAATGAGAGGCATATTATCATGTCTCTTCACATTTTTCTTGTGGTGGTCTTAGGATCATTGTGGCAGTATGAATCCGGAAATTTAAGATGTTTGCCAAGATCCAGGTCGAGAGTTGGTTAGAGGAGGTAAGTACCCCAGTAAAGCGGGATCCCCGAACCACTACTAACACACATGCCTACTCGACCGAGAACTTGGCGTTTATTACTGAATAAGCTATTGAAAGCACGGACAATGATAGTTTCAGAAACAACACTGGGACAGTGGATTGCTTCGTAAGTCAATTGACAAAGTGGGCAATGGAATGGTAGTCTACATGGCATAAGCAGAGTTTCATGCTGCTGTCGTTGGGACCGAATTGCGGGAGATTGAGGAGGGGTAAATAACGCCATACACATAAAACAACTACTGTTCTGCTATAATTCGTCGTCAAAGTGAAATGTGCAGCAAACTCGGCCTGTGGGATCATGTCGCAATGCTGACTCAAAGAAAACACAGTCCCATATGCTGCCACAGAAGCATATACACACAGAAACGACGTCGAAATTAAACAAACCGCAAGCACGGTGGAGAGGTGTAGTGAGAGCACCCATTATCGTGACAAGCGTGCCTGCAGTGTGCCTGTGCCTTATTGATTCCAGGCTCCCCTTCCTTCGCCGTTGTAACAAACACTCGCAGAAATGGGGAGCCGGCTTAGGTTTGAATGCCACAAGTCAATCAGGCATTCGTACGATTTCGAAAGTGAAAAAAAAAAACGATTGATTGGCAATTCAACAGAGCAAAACAATTGAAGGGCCTTAAAACGAGCCGAGGCAAACGACGGACAATAAGGGAATACTCCCCAGGTAAGATCACTCACAACAGCTAAGAAAACGGAGTTGAGACATGTAACAGTGTCCGTGTGAACGGATGGATGGAGGGATGCCAACAGGGTGTATAGAGAGGTATACAAATAAACGCAAGAACTGATGGACAGGTGAATGAGTAATGAATGGACGGGTGGATGGCTGAGTGAATGAGTGGAAGGCTAGGTGAAAGCAGTAATGGGTGAGTGAGCTGGCGAAAGAATGAATATGGAAATCGAACAGACTGCATGAATGAATGTGTGACTGGATAAGTAAATGAACAAGACAAAGAACAGCTGAAAAAGTAGATACATGAAACAAATCAGAAGAAATGAAATGAAATACCAACACGGAGTTACAAACACGTGCGCGTCCACGCTATGCGAAGGCGCGATTCGTCTAATGCCGTGGACACGAACCCACTAAAAAAATCCCCCACCTCGTAGTGTAGTTGCTTTTTTGAAAAGAAAGCGTGGGACGATTGTGACTCAACGTGTCTTTCCACCCTGACTGCATTCCTAAGTCAAACTTGAGATAAAAGGTGAAATCATACTAAGAAGTTGTCCCATTAATAATGACGGAACTAACCGCCCTGTCCCAGGTGACTATCTTTCAATTGCTGTTCCACAACCTAACCCCTTGCTACTCCAAACTTTAACTAGAGATCGACCATGTAGCCACCCGACGCATTCTTTTCCACTTAGAAGCGTCGCTTAGCAAACAAACTGGTGCCGATCAATCCGTGCAAACTCAAGAGGCATTTTACCTGTGTGAAGTGACATTCTGATCATCAATGCAAGCACGCACAGACACAAGTTTTGAGAAGATAGGGATTCCACCTAAATTTTATAGGAAATGTGGAAACTGTAGGGAAACAAAAAGCAAGTCAGATGAGCGTAGATCTAATTTACTTGTAACTAGGCTTTCAAAAGCTTCGAATCTAATACAAATTAGGGTTATGAAGGAAAGATGAGCTTCGTTGTCTCCGCTTTGATCGTTAATTAAAGCAACTATGGGATTACTGGATATTCCCGAATTGTGTTAAAACCCATAGTGAAAACCATGAACACCTAACAGAAAATGCTCTACTAGTGGTAACAAGCAAGGAAACCTTGATGAGACTTTGCTAAGAACGTCCAGTTTGTGTGGGACCATGGACATTGAAAATGCATCATCATTTGTAAAGGTCCTTGATGGCATAGGTGAATGGAGGTATGCCATTTCTTCTTCCATTTTTCCCTTGAAATGATTTAAACTCCTTGCAGCAGTTTGTAGCTTGACATTGAAAGTGCTTTTTAAGCCCCAAATCAAAAAAACTGCATCCTCTCAATCTATGCTTTTTCCTATGCGGCAATGGGTTGCAACAAAGACTTGCTAACGTCTGGTACCAAAGGCGTTGTAACTAACTTGAATAAAGACCACTCAAAAAAGGCATGTAATGGCCGTTTCAGAGGCCCTACTGGGACTGGTGACAATTTTGTCAAATAGTCTTCCGGTATGAATGTGCAAAGATATGCGCACCACATTCGCTTCAGGTTGTTCAGCCTTCCCGACACCCGTGTCACGATCGCAGCCACTGTGACATTTTCACGGTACTCTTAGGCGCATTATCACCATTCACAAGTCAAATTTCGTGTAATAAAGTGAAAACGACCTTAATAATTGATTGTAAGAACTAAGTTTTATCTATCAGACTAGCGACAGTCTTGGATGACGTAAAATCACCGACTCGTTTGTTTAAAAGGTTACCGAAACGCGTCCAGGTGTTTCAACTTCAAGTACTGCTATCTGGACTGCGACTGTACCAACGGGAGTAATAGCAAAATCCTACCAACCACTACGGCTTCAGGGCCCTTCCTCATTTGTCACAAGTGATGAAGTTGACTGCCAAGGTACGCGCTTCCATACGTAATCGGAGCTCCCAGAATCACTAAGCGGCTAGTCCAACCGGGCATAGGTTATGTACATCTTAAACTAAATGAAAAGAAGCATTTCAGAGTCTGAATAAGTAGGAAATTGTGTCACAAAGTGGGCACATCAGACTTCAGCGTTAAAAATTAAAAAAGGGCAGAAGGGAACGCACGTCAAGGTCTTCACCTTCCTGCAAAGCTCTTCCTATCCTCCAAAACCTTTCATTATATCATTGCTACAGCAAGAGTGCCTAAAGTTCGCGGAGTGGGTTTGTGGGTTCATAACCGCGATTAGCTAAACACCTGTTCAACAAGTTGGTGAAAAACCCGCCCCAAGATGAACTAATGGTGCGATGTTCACGAAGTCGAGAGCCCCTTTCTGCAACTTTTTGCTGAAACGTGGGAGAATTTTAAGCAATGATTGCTGATGTTTATGACTACTAACCAGTGACCTAATGACCAACGGGAGAGTTATCCAAAAAAGTCCACAGTAAATTGTAAAAGAGCAATAAAATCCCGTAGTACAGTTTGCAGAAGGACCTTTCGACCCCTTCCATCAGTTAGTGAAATTAAGTCAGAAATCTGCGAGGTCACTAAGAGTTCTTTTACCTTTCGACTCAGTTCTGACTATCTAATGTTTGAAGTGCAGGAGGCTCCAGTCAACCTCGTTGCCGTTGAGTTCACAGTTTACGAAGGATCAAATGACGGTACAAATTAGTAGGAATAGCACCAACTGATGGTAATACTATCCCACAGACGCCGCATTTCCAAATATCAAAACACACCAAAAAGAACCCGGAAAGTGTGAAAGATAAATCGTAGATCAGTGCATTTCGATAAAAAAATATCTGTAAAAAACGTAGAAGGCGCTCTCCAACCCGAAATGGTACGTACTGATAAGAAAGAAAACAGGATGTTCAACCGAATAAAAGTTCACCCAAAGGTGATGCAAGAGAAGATTCTATCACCATGATCGTGATAAATGACGAAAAACCCATGTTTGTTTATCGCTGGGATTTATACTCGTGAACGTGAATTTGGAATCACTATTTCCGAGAGCCTGACCCAAAAAAACTGCTTCGTTAAAGTACAATCGTAAAGATGCGCAGTCGGGTATGAAAGATGTACGAAAAACAACGTCAAAATGCACCTGATCGTACGGTTTTCCCAAAAAAAATAACAACGGATTCTTACTTGGATGAGAAAAACGGCAAATAGACAACCAAACCTAACCTCCTTCCGACCGCAAGGACATCAAGTGATGGAATGGGACAGGGAAGAATCGCTTAGATGACTTACCGCTCCCCTTCGGAGTGAACATACAACGAGAGAAAGCAGGACAAGAACATGAATAGGCAATGACACCACCTCCCCTTCCTGACCCTAGCTCGAGTCACGTGGTTTTTCTCCCAGATGTGGCCATAAAACCGACGCATAAATTGCGGACTCAGCCATGAAGGAGAGACAAATTTCAAAGATAATTTAGGCATCCATACACACGATGACTAAGCCGTCTTTGCCGTGACAGCAAGCCAACGTATTCATTACTGAAAATCTAGGACCACCGACGGACGAATCAAGGTGAGGCTGGATAGCAATAACCGCAAATATTTACTCCGGTCCAGTGGAAATTAGATAGGAGGTGGGGAAGAAAGAGCGAGACAAATGGCGTACTACAGATAATACCACAAATGGACGAGGGATTAAGCAACAGCGTCATCAGAGTGGCTATTCGGAGAGGGATTAGCGGTGGAAGTGGTAGTGGAAGCAGTAGTGACAGCACCTCCAGGCCCAACAATCAAGGAGGGCTCTTCAGTGGACGACACAGCTGAGGGGGAGGCGGAGGGAGGGGAAGAGGGTTTAGTCGCCTGTACAACGGTCGCTAGAGGTGGTGGACTGGCGCTAAAAGCGCTCGCATGCAGTGGTATCTCCGAGTGCACGGAACCTCCAAGAGAGGAGAAAGAGGTGGATTTACACGATAGTGTCGACGTCGGCGCATTGTTACTACTTCCGTTGTGATGATGATGATTAGGCAAACGGGGTCTAGTCTTGCCGAGAGGTTGATACGACGACGATGGCGGCCGCTGTTGTTGACGTGGGAAATCGATTTGCGAGGTCGCTAGAGAGGCGTGACTGGTCATCAGCGGAACCATGACTGGTTGCTTAAGTAGAAGACGCGAGCTTCGGTAACTATTGTCCAGAAGACCCGTATGGCTGGATGGCGTGGCTCTACCTGAGATAGGGATGAATTGAGGCACGTAGGCAAGAGTGCCGTCAGACAACATGACAGCGGTGGGGGAGCCGACCTCTGGCACGACCACACTGCAGACAGGGACACCGTTTTCGTCGTAGAGGATGCGAGACTCCGTCTGACGCATTGAAGAAGCCGACAACTCGCCATCATCGTTGTCAGCGAGGGGGAGTTGACAATCTGGTGCGGGGATGTAAGTTGATGTTATGGGTCTCTCTCGCCTTCCAGCTCTCGACGCACCACCTCCCAGCTTTCCGTTCTCCTTTGCAACTGGCCCATACATCCAACGTCTCCGACGGCACATGAAGACAATAATGATGAGCAATACAAGGAGAAGGAAGAGAACCGCACCGACCACAGAGCTGACGATAAGCTCCCGCAAGCCCAAGGGTTCAGACCCTGTAGTAGCGGTAGTAGGCGCAGGTCGTGGTCGAATAGTCGTAGTTCTTGTGCTGGGAGCAGTAACAGTGGTTGTGGTAGTAGTGATAGGCGGAATGCAGACACGTGTCGCAGAAGTGATGAGCGCCGGATGCGTCGGAAGAACATCAGACCGTAGCCAGGGGGCAGGAAGACAAGAAAGCCGGGGTATCTGTTGGATTTCCACCTGTGCCAACTTCTGACACCTCACCCAGTCGATCCGCGGAAGGAGAGGCGACTCTTGACCCTGATCCACATCAATGTGGTTCATGATGAGGTGGGTGAGAGAGGCAGGACACCCGGAGGAGAGCCACCATTTATCTGTGTCGGTGTAAACACTTCGCATGAGGGGATTCATGGAGATATCTAGGAACTCCAGATTAGCCAATGTGATGCTGAAATCGGGTATAGAGTTCTTCAACCCCATAATATTCAGTAGATTGCCTGATAAATCCAGACGCTTCAGGCTAGTGAGACCTTCAAATACATCAGATGAAAGACTAGAAAGTTTGTTATTTGCCAGAGAGAGTACTTCCAAGAACGGGAACAAACTAAAGGCGCCCGGTTTTATGTACGTCAGGCTGTTGTTGGCTAGATTGAGAGAGATAAGACGGCTGGCCGATTTTACCTTATTGATCGTAGGAAAGCCCCATCGCACAAAGTCTAGACGTTCAATGCGATTGCTCTCCAGATTCAGGGTCTCCAATTGCGGCAGATTAGAGAAGACAGATACGCCAAAACCCTTATAGCTGAGGTTGTAGTTCTGATTTAGATGGATTTCACTTAGTGCCTTCAAGGAGAGCCGGTCAAAGAGACCTGCTTGTAGATTCTCCAAGCGAGTGTTTTGGATCACCAGAACCTTTAACTGATTCTCTTGCAGACCAAAGAGGGTTTGAAAGTGCTGAGCACTTAGAGTGATCAGTCCCCCACCGGAGATGGAAATGCGACGCAATTGAGCTGTGCACGATCGCTTGGGCGGGGCGGGTGGCCAAGAGTCAGGAAGGAGTTGAACAGAAAGCTCAGTCCACCTGGTCAAACAAGTGTCCATGGTCGGCCATCGTAGAGCGGAGTTCGCGTTGGCGGAAATTTGTCGCCGACCAGGCAAATGGCATTGGACAGGCGAGGGATAGTCCGAGGGGAAGAGACAACAGTGAGCAACCTCCTCTGACGGACAATAACATCCGGAGGGACAGAGGAGGGTCTCTGTGACAGCAAATGCAAGGTTGGAAAGTAAGAAAATAAGGACGGGTCCCAACATTATTCCACGTGGTTTGTCATCGAAACTACACCACCGCATACAAACACTCAAGGCGAAGCGTGCTAACTAAATAGACTCCATTCATCAACAGGCACGCCACTCGCGGTGGAACTGCACTCGCGCACCTGCCAAGTGGCACGCTAAACTAGTAGACGACCAATCAGTGCGAGGCTTTGTTTTCATTGGTCAACGAAAACATTAATCAGATTTCTCCAGATCCAGGAACGGTATTAGTAGTGGTTCCATTCGTCTTGAAACCTTTCATTTGGACTGGGAGCTGTCACTTGTAGTTCACTTTTCAAGCGACAGTAGTTAAGACATGGCTGGATGAGAGGGGGCACTTGTAAGTGGGTGTCTTACAATGGGAAAGAAACGTGGGGACTCGACAAAAGGGCGCGCATGGATCAGAAGATACAAAGGGATGATGGTTTTTCAAAGACAATAGGATCTATCTTGAGATCAATCGGAACATGATGAGCACGACTTCGAATAAAAAGGACATCCCTTTGACAATATCGTAAAACGTTCCGCATACGGTGAAATGTCGCTGCAAGTGAATGTATCAGTAGGGTTAAAAAAGACGGCCATAGGAATGGAAGTTGTCCTCTGCGAAAGTACAAAATTACCCTTTCAGTTTCTTCTGAATAGGCCTCCACGGTGGTGGCGTCGAAGCTCACTTATTTCATACATGCCGCTAGTTGTCCAGCTCTATTAGACGTCAATGCCAGTTTCGCATACTCTGAGATGTCTTCAGAAGTAGATTTAGTGCGACAATGGTGCAACACGTATGCTATCTTTAATCCCTTGCACGGAACAATGAGAGCTTTTGCTCACGTTTCACAGAAGGCTTTAGCCTACATAAGTGGGATCTGCAGGACCTCAAAACAGAGAGCGCGAGGAAACCACATAATCTACTTTCAATCGCCTCAAATTTGGAGTTATGCACAGAGATTAGTACAGGAGCAAGATCTAGATTGAACGAATCAACAGTCCTTCGTGGAAAAGATTACTCACATTTTTTGGTAAAAGAGGGGCAAGCAATAACCAAAGTGGGTAACCGGACAGCATTAAAAAAAGGGGTGCGTAAGTCAAGTACTTATCTTTAATATAGTTCCGTAATGGAGGACATAATAAATGAAATCATCGAAATTGAGAGGATGCACTAAATCTGTTCTGCCATGACAGAAGGAAGGCGACTATGAAAACGAGTGCTGACAGTCAAGTTGGGACGGCGCTCTGACCACACCACCTATACTACTGGCTGCTCAGCTGCCATCCTAGATTTCGTATGTCGTCCAATTTTTAAGTGGCAACTTACTTACCGCATGACACTTCAATCCTTAATAAAGATCATAATATTGACATTTAAAAAAGGAGAGTCCATCTGACTCCACGTAAACTTGAGAGGTGTAACAGCGCTTCGACATGTAATCGTATGACCTCTGTTTCAAGAATGCATTGGCATGTGAAGTCATTGAGTATGGTGAGCAATTACCCTGAAGTGATTTTGGATCACACTAAGGTTGCAAACAGTCTAGGCAGACTCAACAGACTTTGCTGTAAGTAAAAGATGATTGGACATTATTAGAGTTGGAAAATACATTCTTTACGATATCAATTCGGTAGATTAAATGATTTGGTAGCAATACGTGTTTCAATGGATGCAACGTAATTGAGAAAGTCGAACAATTACCGATCGGCTGAAGATCCATCGTTGTAAACTTCAACACTGCCAACGTAGAGGAAAACAAGAATACATTATGGGATATAAAAATGAGCTTTTCTACGTCCTAACCATTAGCACATTGAGGACAGCGGCTAGAAGCCTTGCGGAAATGCAAAGGGGAGAATTGGTGAACGCGAGCAGTTGAAAACATGGGTCAGTGGAGTATGCGTTGATTCACTCCCAACAGCACTCGATTCAAGAGTTGGCACAATCTTGTCACAGTTATTTTTTTTTTGTTATTGCATTAATTTCGGTCTGTGAGGATGCCTCACCATTTCAAACGCATGTTTTCGTTTTCTTAGTGAGAAAAGTGAAAAAAGACAAAATCTGCGCCAAGCGCAGTGCTGTGAAGCCGAGAGGCGGAAAGATGAACGAGGGTATTTGCACAGACACAAGTATGCATAGTGAAACCTAGCCGATTGTTAGATAAATTCCATTTTGGTGAGTAACTGCACCCCTGAAAAGTTGTTGCATGGGAGGCCTGAGATGAGATTAAGGATTTGGAGCTGAAAACCGCTGTAAGTGGAAGTGAATATTAACTAATTAAAGAATATTTGGACTCACTAAATTAATATTTGGGCGCTTGAAATGAGCTAGATTGATAAATTTCAGCATGCATTTCCAGGTGAGAGGAGGGGAAAAATCGTGCAGTGAATAAAGACAAACGATTTCACCATTTAGTATTCTGCACTTGACTTGCATTACCTATGACACCTGTACCAGACATCATCAACCAACTGCGATGGATGGACACCAAGTAATCGAAGGAAATGTTGTTTTGGCCAATCCTCGGTTCAGCATACACCAGGTCCACAAATTACGCTGCAAAAGCTGGAGTAATTGGATTGGTTAATTTCAAAAAGGACCAAATTGATGACTACCAGGGGGCACCCGGTATTATGGTGATTACGATGCGTCGGTTGAAAAAAATCTGATGAACGTGATCCAATTTAAGCCCAGCTCCAAAGCAGCAGAGACGTCTGGTTAAATTTACCTAACAAGATTCTGAGGTGCAGGGAGCGGCAGCAGAAGGCACCACCCAGAATCAAATGGTTTAAACAAAGTGATTTTGATGAATCACCGCGTAATGGAGGGACTTCCATCCTTGATTATGAAGAATTACGTGTCACTCTTGGCACGCTAATTCGAGAGTGATAATGCATCAACAGCAACTTTCATTCATATTTGACGCAAGTTACGATACACTTTGTTTACATTACATTATTTGGACAAGTGGTGGAAACCAAACATGGATGCTGAATGCATTACCAAAAGCCATCAATTTGCAGTTATTCAATTCCTTCACCTTATGGAAATAAGGCATTAGGAAAGAACTGATTGCACGGCTGACCGGTTAACTTGGGATGAGAAATGGCCTTCCCGCGCTAAGCAGATCACCACCAGAGACTATTCCCAAACGACCTATCCATTGCCCACTCCAAACCTCCAAGGCACGCAACACTTTGTCCTTAGAACAAGATAGGCTTAACTTTGGTATTATTGGGAGACAGTTAGGAACAATGTTATATTCTTAGTTTTACGGGTCGGTTCGATACGGCACACCCAAGACCTCATACTGGCTCGAAATTTACTAGTGAGAAGACTTGAACCCTTAGATGAGATGAAACGGCAGGAAGGCACTAGCTCAGCCCTGACTACATTTCTTCAAGCTGAGAGTGATGACCGCCACTTTTTCTTGCCACTAGCATCAGATGATGACGTGACCACATGGGAAATCGAGGCAAAGTTGGCTGAATTTCAGTCATTTTTGACCCTTATAAACGTGAAATTCCCAGGTGCCTTGTTCCAATACCATATGGGAGGGTTGTAAGTTGTAATGCTGATTATTTAAGCGATAAACTACTTTGAGAAGGTTTCTACAAAACACACTGGCAATAAAGCACACCGATAGAAACTGCTCTGTGGTAAGTCTTAACTAGACCCGTTTAATTGTTTTGGTACAACAAAACAAACCATTGGAACCGATACCGGCCACCTAGTACCTGCCAATCTGTTTCACCATTGAATTAAGCTTGACCCATGTCATAGCTTACCGGTGCGGTGGTGCGTTGGCATGGGTGACTCTTGGCCCCGTGCGCCTGAATGCCACGCACAGCGTTGTCTACTACGCGGCAAGGGTGTACGACAAGGGCTCAAGGTAAACACACCACGCCACACACCACATTGCAACGAATCGCACTGGATCACATCACATCGGGCACTTGTGTATGTACTACACACGCTTCACACGTCACGATTCCCTCTTTTCGACTATACAAGAAGTAATAAAAGTGACACCAATATTTACTGCAAACACACACTACTACCACCAGAATGAAAAAAGAACCCACTTAGCCGTGACTGAGACTGTGACCGTGCCTTCTTTTACGCGATTTTAGCTTGAGACACAACGTAGAAATAACACTTCTGAAGCGCGTAAAAGGCCAACAAAACTTATGCATGGAAGCAAAATTAACGCTTTGGGAATGCTCAGAACCATCGGATTTTCAATGAAACTAATTGGAGGTTTCGTTTCCCTTTTGTGTTTAACGTTTGGCGCACTGTTTGTCAAAAGCGAAGAACTAATCTGTTCTGACGCAAATGAATTTTGTAACATCCTAACTGTGGAATACAAAATTTGTGTTGATTACTTTATCCCTCAGCAAATATAAAATGGTGGAATTTACCCTTGGAATTACTAACAATTAAGAAAATTGCTGCTTAGATGGGTCCTGCTTGCGATTTCGGCCAGAGAATTAGGCAGCTATTTCATCGAAGACGGTGTTGGAATTGATTTGGCTGAAAACATCACAGGAATTTCACCAGTGGATAGCTTAAGTGATTTCAAACAACTGTTTAAATTCACGTGAATGTAAATACACACATTTATTGCCTAAAATTGGCAGTGAAGTGGGTAACTATTTCTGCTTTATCACTGCACATGCGAATTGATGTCAGCTTTAATTTATGTGATGTGAATTTTTCTTAAGATGAAGTGTGCAGAAAGGTCGTTTTAACTTTCGAATGTCTTAAACTAATCACCCACTCTTCCTATACTTGGAAAAAGCTTTTAATGATGAATAAGAGCCTCTTTTTTTCCTCAGGAATGAAGCCTTTCGTAGTACTAGAGGAACGCTGATGAGGGGGTATCGAGATTCGTGGAGTAAGTCTACTCCAACTGTCGTGGTCGAAGAAAGGATCCAAAGATCCATTTCGAGAGAAACGACGATAAAAATGTGGTAAGAAGGGATTTTTTAAGAAATCAAGAATGAAAATTACCCATGGAAGATTGTTTGAGCTGCACGAAATACATCCAAGAGATGTCGAAACTCGTCTAGTAGTGGCTCAGTCTACCAAAAATACCAACTTCTACAATCGCTTGAAGCTTTATAGACAAAAAAAGGCACTTCCAACCTCTGAATTTTAATATGTTGCAGAATTGCCCAAAAAATCGGACATCTTACCGTAGACATACTCAAGAGATTAGAATAAGAGGAGTAGATAAACGTTAAACAATCATGATAAGGCACGCGTTTAGTTTCTGATACCCCTCAATAACAGGGGCAAGTCTCACGTCCTACAAACTCTGCTCAAGCTCCAACATGAGGCATTCTTTGGCGATGCCAATTCAGCAAATATATAGCAGTTAATTAAAAACTGACAGACAAGTAACAAGAAACTCACGGAAGGCACCGTCTTGGAGGCAGAAGCTAGACTTCCGGTGAACGGTGACTGGGCAGTCATTCGCGGCTGAGGGGTGACGGGTGGACCAAGCCTTTCCTGAAGTCCCGTTGGCATTATCGTCGCCTTTGTAGCTCCAGCCTTTTGTGCTACCTGGTGGCGTAGTCGAAAAGCGAGGCTGTGGGAGTGGATGGCACGCTTCGGTGTGGGTGGAACTGGTGTTAGGGAACCCGAGAGCTGCTCTGCTGGCGAATTAGATGAGGTGACTGAGTGGCGTGCGTCCGATGTCTTCAGGGGTGTGGCACTGGTGACACTTGTTGATGCTGCTTCCTCCTCGATGCACAACTGGAAGCCCTGGAATTGAACCAGAAGTTCTCTCAGTATACATCACACACCAACTCGTACACGCTCATCAAAGCATAGTTTTGGTTAACAAACTGATCTCAATTCGAATCGAGACTTCTAATTCTTCATCAAAATATAGAAATTGATACTGCTGTGACGCTACTATGTACAGTAATCAGCGATAAATACATCATATTACTAGTTACCAGCCCCCAAATACTTGAGCAAGTCCAGTCCAGACATGGTGCTAAACAATTTTTTTTGAAAGAAGCCGCGTGTCTACTCGTACAGAAGATTTCAGTCAGGGTGCAGTACGCTCAGCAGTAAGACATTTGAATGGTGTAAACATTTAGAAGAAAGGCCTCCGTAGGTACGTCTGTGTTTGTGACGATCACGGGAGTGGTAGTTCCCAGCCCACAGCCTCAACAGCCAATCCAATGAATATTCAGCGGATGAATCGTCTGATTCTGAATAACCTACACATAACTTGTCTTGAAATTGTACAGGAGACCAGTCTTCCCGTGGGAACAGAGAGCATACAAAACTTCCAGAAGTTAGAGCGTGAAGGATTCCAGCACCACCTTCCACATTTGACCAAGCGGAGGAGTTGAATGCTGCAGTGAGTTGAAGGTGGATTGCCATGCCAAAGCTTTGCAGGTATTACTTAAAGACTAGGATAGGTGTATAAGTGTAGCAAACACAATTTAAGCTATCTGAAATGTGCTCTTCTTTTTTTCAAGACTCAACAGTCCCAATTTCTCTTGAACGCTTTTAGTGCATGGTTCCAGTAGTACATACAGCACTTCTGGCCTTTAAGTAGGCTGATGCCTATTACCGACGGTAACTAGAGGTGATAAGAGCATGATCATGTGTCACTCAAGGGGTTAGCCACCTGAATGAATAATTACCGGAACAGTTTGAGAGGTTCGTAATGAGATAGTGTGGAAATATTCAACAGTTAGTGGTCGTCTCAGGGTGGGGGAATCAATGTGGAACGGGGAGCTTAATGACAGAAAAACACTTCAAGCCAGTAAATTACTCATTCATTCTAGTTTTGACAGATGTCTGTTCTGAATAAATTAAGTGGATAATGCCAGCCTTTCGGTGCAACACTTCCGTGGGTATACGACTCCAAACTCCAGCTCATTGGGAACTCATTACAAATAAAGGTGGTAATTCTGATAAATCTGTAAGTGTTTTGAGTCTTCAAGTAGACTTCGACAGAGGCAAGAGGTCATGCAGTAATTAAACAAGTGGTGACTCAAGTGAATCACCAACGTAATATAAATGTGCTATGGGAACGCACTGATGCATGAATCACGGCCTAACAGGTTCCTAAATCACCACGGCATACCACTATTTACGTGGTACCATTTGCATTCCATTGTCACCACTTATCTCAGGTTGGAAACGACTTATTAATTGAAAATCGTGGTATCAAGTAGTTTTCATTAATCAGAATGCAGATCCTGGAACATCAGAATGAGCAATGCTGGCCAGAAATTGAGTCATCGAGGTTTTAAAAACGAGTGTTCTTCGGGTCAGCCAAAAAAGGAAAGCTTGAAGAAGATGCATTTCTTATTAGACGTCAGCTTTCAGAATGCCTTTTATGTCTTGCGGTCAAGTATCGTTGGAACGTTAAGCTAGTGATTCAAAGGCAATCTGAGATGGATAGATGAGTCCGCTTCCATCCGCATCACAACTACTTTTAGTTCATCCACCTTAAGCTTTGATTAGAAACGCCTGATGGAATAGAGATTTAAGACCTACCAACCAGCATATTTTGCATGTTCCTTATTGATACTCGGGATAAAAACATTGTTGATCTTTCGAATTGTTCGTATCGCTACGTCAAGGTTCTTTGACAAAAGTCCCATCCAAATAAGGCAAATTTTTCTTGTTCATCCGTGGTTTAGCGAATAGGAACAACGCTTGCGCATCTTCATCAGCTAAGTTAGTAAATAGAGGGAATAGTAGGGGAGTATATAGAAGGCCGCCAAGGAAAAAAAACGGCTCCGAACGTGAGCGAATTGCACAATGTTTATGAAGGCGAAAAACAGGAACATCTAAATTTTGGTTAATTGATTTGTCCTGCTTCGCAAGATAATTCATAAAAGCGACAGTTAACCGTCTGATCTACCGCCTTAATTTATGATCTTCCGACTAATCGGGATGACCCACCTACTTGTAAGACTCAGCTTAATCACTAATTAGCGATCCAAATGGTTGTCTCATGTCACAAATAATGACAAATCTGACACGATTTATAAGGTAATATCAGAGTCGGAATAAATGCATTCACTTTAACACGAAGGCCACTCGTGTCACGCATACGTGACGCCAACACTTTACACAAATTTAGCGTACTTAGTGAAAAGTAAATGAAAAATAAGGGGAAACAAAGTGAAAACAGTTGGTGCCATAGCGGAACAACAAACTGGGTGGGGCGTTGTGGTTTATGTCCCGTAGACAGCGCCTGGAAGCAAACGCTTTGTTACTCAAATACACGCCGCTGTGTGCAAAAAAGTGGCCGAGATAAGTTATGCTGCAGTCCAGATAAATGAACCACCGTGATTCAGACGCCTGCAGAGATCAAAGGAACTGTGACCAATGCCATGTGCAAAACCACCGCGTCCATGTGACCTTGTTTGACTAATGGTGCACGATGATACGTATCGCGTTGATAAACATTGAGAGCAAACGTTCACCGTTTGCAAGACTGACTCGTACAGGACACGCGTGGTCCAAAGTCTTACCGGCGTTTTTATTCCCTGCCCCAGCTCTACAATAACGCAAGTTTTTCGAGTTTAACACAGTATTTCAGAAAAGAGGTGCCAAGCCCCAGCAAGAATAGATCTTCTGCAGCAAAAATTTTTTCAGCATCATCAAGGCCAAATTCCCACCGTCGGTGAAGGCTTTTGATGTTTTCAAGTAATGGGAGCTAATGTGATGCTTCACCTACTTTTCGAGGCCTTGAGATTAATATAGTGATCTACAGGCAGACATCGGAGAACTGCCAAACCCTGGATCAAGAGAGCTATTCAGAAGAGATCTTGCATGTCTCGACATGACTGCCCCTCTTGCACAGTCTGCAAGATCTACAATAAATGACCGGAAGTTCTCGTGGTTACATAACCTCTAGTTCTCTTGATTTTAGTTCCTTAAACTACAATGTTTGTGACGCCGTTGGGAAAGCCACCAGTACGTATTCGCAAAGTACCAAGCACGCACTGATGACTGGGAGTAGGGACATTATGGCCAACGTGAATAATGCGTGAATTTGTTGATTCAGAAGCGAGGTTTCTGAATCATCGAGTGGCACTTTAAGGACTCAAAGTAATATCTACTTCCATTTCCAACGATGTTCTACTGTCAAACAGTTTTTTAAAAATGTAATCAGCGGTAATTCACGAGGGAGGTATATTTCCGTTAGTCCGTCTCGGGACCGTAAATTCTCCCAAAACTAACCAAAAAACCAGGTTCTTTTTGAAATAATTTAGGGATACAATCGGTTATCAGAAGGATCTCGTCGACTTACGGCATTTGTCAAATAAAGTAATTTTGTATATAATTAAATTTTTCATCAATTAAGCAATCATTCATAGAAAGGACATTTGCCAAATTCGCCGCAACAGTGATTTGACACTATGATACTTTGCGGGGTACAGGTAGATCGCATTCAAACACTGGGTCTGATTACCCAAGCGCAGTGGATAGTAAACTTACCACATTAATCCAGATGGTTTAGGTGGAGAGACCAATACTTGCGGCTTTAGACAGGAGGCGGGCAAGGTCATGTCAACAAAGGGGTCACCGGACCGTCAGCTTACCCATCCCGACCCTGGTCAAGTTGATAAGGTCAGACTACATGTGCAGTGCAGCCTGTATAGTAATAAGGCAGAGAAACGATTGCTTATAACCGAAATGACTTTCGAGTCTTCGACACCTCCACAGTCTCTCGAAAGGCGTTTAACCTGAGCAACGTTGAAGGCAAACCGACACTCCTTCACTCCGCTCCATATAGTAACAGGTCTGCCAACCGCGTCCATGCATGGACATTCAACAAGTTCTACCCCAACTGAAACAATGGTGTCAGATCTCAACGCCTGCATATTTTCTCCTCCCTACAGAAGGCCTCAAATACACTACGGTGCGCCATAGTGTTGGGACACCCAGCCATTCACTAGTAAGACATTTGAATAGATTCATCATGTACAAAAGAAAGGTGGCCATAAGAATGTCTGCATGCCAGTAACCACCGTAGCTATGGTGGCTACCAGCCCATTGCCCATTACTTACTGCACACAACATAGCAGTCATCCAGCCCCGTGAACATTCACTCAGGGTGCAGAATCCCTGTCGCACCCCTGACAAATCACTGCTAAATGCATAATTTACTTTTCGTATGACGAAATTGCACAACATACGATGGCTGCCTCGTGTGAACGCAACACACAGAAATGACGAAATGAATCAAGCTGGACGTCCTAAAGTGGTCCAGTAGTCGTGCAGGCAAATCTTTCTACTATCAAGTTGTTTTTTTTTCTCATTTATGGATTGGATGCTGATATAAGTGCGCAAATGCAAAGGGATTACATGGAGAAATAAACCCAATTTTTTGACATTGGAATTTATTCTATCAATTCTCAACTTCAGGAATAATAATTTTAATAAAGCATGATTTTACTTTTTAAGTACATCAAACTGTAATACTCCAAAGTGCTAGGTGTCTGAGCGTGAAATATCATGCACTGACGCGCACAAATGATGATTCTTCGTCATCATCTTCTTTGATACCGATAGCGCTAAAACTCGAAATTCTGCTCTGGTTTAACACGTCTACTACCAGCGTCACGTACATATAACATGCGTGATAAGTGGTGGCACCAAGTTCTGTGCCGGAAACAGTTTGATTGAGTCTAACACCATGAAATAGATGTAGAACGTCCCTAGTGTGAGGCGGAGGACAAATACCACTTTCCGTTTTCGAGGAGGCCGATCCAAAAAAGCCATGTGGACTGGACCGTGGTGGTCGATCTGCCTCGGAGACTTTGGTGGCACACTCAAGGTTTAATTCTTTCTTAAAACGTCAATCTTGTGTGCATAGTTGAAAATCGTTTGTTTGAAACTCTCCCCTTTCTCATACAACTAAAACGTCAGCATCTGGCAGAGCTAGATTCGATCACCTGTGGGGCGCGGATATCGAAAGGCTCTTGGTTGGTGGGGGCCTTAGCAAAGACTAGGTAAGAACTCTCATCACATTCTTTTCAGAATGTCTTTAATCAGTTGAAAAAAGAACGAGCTGGAGGGCTTCAAAGTGATTTAGATTTTCATGGGTTCAGCAAAACTACAAATCCGGCAAATTAACAGGAGCTAATACGATGAAAACTACCGAAGGTGCAAGACTACAGTGGACTGGTACTGATTTTGTGCAAGAAATCACGGAGGAAATATTTCTTCAGCAGGATAAGAATCCGTCTCTAGTGGTTGCAACAATGTTGCGATCCTACGCAAGGGTAAATGTGTACGCGCCCCTTCTCATGTGAATTCTTGGGTTTGTAAAGTAGTGCTAAGTTTACTGTGTGCGATATATGCTTACACCTTCCAAGCAAAACATGTAATTTCGTAAAAATGATTTATTGCATTATCCTTGGTGATATTTTTGGTCTGGGAGAAATCTTCCAATCACTTTTGTCTCAAAAAACCCAACATACTTTGTACACGCCGCTTTTTTCCAAATGTAGTTATCATGTGAAAACGGGATCAGATGCAGTAAGATTATAAGGAGCTAATCTTGAAATGCGCTGGTAAATAAGTACTAGTATGCATTTAATTTGGCTTTTTTTCAACAAACCAAACAAAATGACCCCTCTTAAGAGTTAAAAGGAAGGAAAATCAAAGCACAATCAAGGGTAGAAGAAACGATTGCGGAATAAGGGTGATTTCTAGCCAAAAGATTTGCTTCATCACACATGGAGCCACGAATTATCAATAGACATTTCACTATGATCCATTATCAATGGCAAAGTGGACGACAAATGCGACCACAAGGAGAGGAGGAAATTTAAGAAGCAACTTCAAGGTCATACCTGGGCAACCCGTTGAGAGACAAGCTCCTCGAGAACCTGCTGACCAGAGAGCGGATGACGCGAGTACGCCAGTCCCGGAAAGGCCTTGGTGCTGGGCAGAAAAAAGAAGCGGATGGAAGAAAGATTCTGGACACGAAACCCGACCATGTCACCCATTATTCTAGTTTAGCCTAATGATAAATTGAAATTTGGATGCGAATGCCTTGCTGTGCTGGGAGGGAATTGAGGTGCCACATTGATGGCAGCGAGGTGGGGCGAAACAAACACCTTTTTCCTTGTAAAAAATGCGACCGCCTTTCATCAATGCTTTAACAAACATGTTTAAATGAAGTGTCACAAAAGACAGCCATCCACTGTGGATGGCTAAATGTGTTGAGACTCGCAGCCGAAGAACCTAGAGAAAATCGAGTCAACTTGTGGATGACAAATCTATTTGAGTTTGGCGACATGAAAAAGAACGAAGCCAGCCTAAACTACTCCAATAAAAACAGAAGGAAATCTGAAGAATAACTCCAGAAAGCAACAAACACGTTCGTTATTTAGGCAAATGTTTATTTGGAAAGCGATTAGCACTCGAACTGAGCCCACTGTAGACCATCCCCCAAGCCCAAGCAACCCCTCATGGATAAGTCTCTTTTATTCGTCAATGGAGAATGTGATAGAAGAAAACGAGTGTTTTAAAGTGTAACAACATCCATTCAACTACCTTGTTCCCTTGACGTCAACCAGATAAATGTAAATTACTTTAGGAGGGGGGGGGGTGGGGAGGGAGGGTGAAGGGGAGAAGATGGGCTAAATTGTGTTGTAAAGCGCGTGGAATTGAAGTGAGGAGTTGGGAGGCCGTTTTAAAGATCAATGCTGTGGAAAATGTTCCATTAAGACAACGAATTTGCTTTGGCGATGAGGTGCTCGAACGAGCAACCACTGGGTCCAGTGGTTGCAAAATCTTTTGCATAAATGCAACCATCGTTGCGTAATTTGTACACTAAGACCAACTACTGATTTCACTGAATGTACTACATTTTTGGAACTCAAAAGGCTTCCACCGTGATTTAAAGCCATCATTCTTTTAATTCCAGTTCGTCTAACAATTGTTTTCCGACCGAAACAGAAGAGTAATTACCAATCCTGAGAGTGTCAAGGAAAGGAACTTCATGATAGCCTCTTTACCCCCCATAATTTAACCTTTGCTGTTATAGTGTGCAGTTTCATTTCTGTTACCTGCATCGCCAATTCTTTAGCCCTACCATACGGCAATAAAAAATACACTTAGACTTTTTTGGTAGTAACCTGAGGAATGCCTTTATGACAAGCCGCAGCCCTTCTAGCTCCACAGCCCCTGTGCACCATAGACGTCCAAGTTACATAACCGTTGCAGTCTACTAGAAATCGTCACCGTAAACACTTCCAAAGTATGCCGATTCTGCCTCACATTTTAAAAGTGCCGCAACTCTAAGATGATGCGAATTTTTGGCCCACTGTGGGCTCCTTTCCCACGCAGGGGCACATGAATCACCCACTCTCTCTCCTGCATGCCGCCAGAGCCTCCAACGGAAAGACATGTGGACAGACTCCCGAGGTGACCAGGAATGGTCACGCAAGGCGAAAGCGCCCAGAGAGTAACCTCCACCACAGGGGATGACCAAGCTAGACCATGGGTAGGCGGGGAGAGAGCAATAAGCAGCTCCACAAATTCATCACCATTGATGTTGCTGCAGTTGTCGACAGCGGAGAAATGTGTAAACGAATGGGGAAGAAGGGGGTGTAATTAATCATAAAGCCCCTTAACAGTCTTAAAAACATGAGGTAGATTGTGCTTTGGGTGAGGAGACCAGACAGGGATGTACCATCGCGAAGCTTGGTCATTTAACACAGATGTAAAGATTAGAGCTGTGCAATTTTGGGGTGAGCTTTGAAAAACCAGGCGTCTTAATTTTTATGCCAAGAATTAATGTGTTTACGAGAGGATCAAAATAAACACATCGTGGGGACAAAAGGAGGCACAGCATTTGTGCATCTGACTCATTTCACTAATAACTCCCACCTGTTCTTAGAAATGCTTATACGAAGCGAAGTGAGTTATGTATCGAAAAAAAAATAAATTACTTGAATGAATAAAGACAACTTCTAATGCGTGATGATCACCCACCACTTCAAATTAGTAAGGGCTCAGGAGTGTGTGTGTGAGTGGCGCGCATTTATGACAATCATGATAGGCTTTGAAAAGAGAGAAAGGTGAGCTGCTTTGAACCAACGTATCATTTCTGCTCAATGGCGGCTAGGAATTCAATTGCACATCTGCTGAAGATTCCTTAAATTAGCCATGAATTCGACTGTTTTTTTTCTCTAAGATTATGCGTATTGCAGCAAGCCAGTAGGGGTTTCCACAACTTTTGAGTTCATACGATCGCCCACGAGCAACAAGGGTGGTGTTTTGAAGTGTTACGCCGTGTTACCTTATCCTGTAAAAGTCAGACTTGGACTTTTACTCAAATGATTGACTAGTTTCAACTGCTTCTCAAGAAGAGATTTGTTGAACAAATAGCCGCAGGTCATTCCACACCAGCACAAATAGAGGGTCCCCTTCAACGCTATGGATCAGCACAACACTGAATGGTAATCCGTTACAAGCCGCAAGCTTATCAAAACCATCTATAGGGGTGCTTTCTGTAACCATGCCTCTCCCTAAGTGCCATACAAGAATTTCAACGAGGAGTTCATAAATGCTCGAAATTAAACTTAGTTCATAAGGCGAAAAAGCCAAAAACACATCCACCAGGTTTAAGCTGTTAGGAAAATAGTCAAGAGCACAACAAAGAGACCTGTATCGACGGAGTGATGGATGGAAATCTATGCTTGATAAGGCATGCGTAGAAACATGGGCACACCTCACCAATTGTACAATGTGGTTGCAGTCAGCTGTACCGAAACCCCAACGACCTTTTTGGGTACCTGACCCATCGAATGACATTACCCTAATAATTAGCAGTCTAGACTTTGCCGCCGTGTTCAGGGCAGCATACACTTAAAACTTAATTCACTACAAAAATGCGGCAAGTTTAATTTGAATCACAAAAAAGTCGCCAGTTTATTTAATTACAGGCGTAAAACTCCTAAATGACAAAGGATTTAAAAGAGTGAGCATAAAACAAAGGGAATATCAAATTTCCTCAAAAGGGGTGAAGAATGGCCAGATAAAAAATATAAAGGCGAGCTTAAAAGCACCTAATTTGTTTTCAATTCTCAAACTCTAATCGACTGCAGGGATTGAGAAGTATACCAATCAAGTTCTAGTTGATGAAGAATAGACAAAAAGTGGACTCTGATACAACGTCAACAGCTTTCACGTCAATTTTGATTGTATTCTTCCAACCATCAGCATGCTATACCTCTAAAGGCATTTCAACAGGTTAATCAGCTGGTGATAGCATGTCAAAACATTCTCACTTATATTTCACCATTAATAGGACAATCCGGATGCACAAAGAATTTACGGGTACACTACATTGCATAGGGTACTACCTCGTTTTACCGAGGTGGTGAGGCCAATACTGAAGGTGGTGCGTAATCAAATAATCCATTCAAAGCCGACTTGGAGGTGGCAGGACAATGCGATATGCCAAACATCTCTTAGCTGTAACGGCGAATATGACTTACTTTAATGGTGCATCGGGAGAAACCTGCGACTAAAAGCACCACCTATGGACAACTAAATCTGTGGATGCCAAGGAAAAACAAAGTCAATTGGTCGGCAACCACTCGAATGTTAAGCTCTGCATTCTGATCTGTAGTGAAACAATACGACTCTACCCTGAAAAAGCCGGCATTCCAATGAAAATTCTGCTCGAGGTACCTATGTAAAATAAAGGAATCAGATCTAGCGCCTTTCAGTGTTACAAGAAGCTCAAGGGAAGTCAGGTGAACATTGCAACAAGGCAGTTCATACTAACTGCGCATTCAATCCTGCAGTACTTTTCCGTGTCTATACCTTCCAAAGTAAAAAAGCCATTCAGGCTATCGTGTTTACTGTCCTCATTCCGGTCTTGTAGTACTCACAACACGTACCGCCCATGCCTTCAAACTTCTAGGCCTTTCAACATCATCGCAGCTAAATTTTATTCGCAAATTCTGCCTTCTAAAAATAGATCAAAATAGAGATGATTAGCGCTTTGAAATGCAATTCGATAATTGGGCGCTGGACGCGAAAGGAAATTAAGGGGATGGCCCGAATGGAATGGTTAAACCAACTGGCGTCTCTTCACAGGTTTCCGTAGTTGTTGGATAAAAAACGGGTCTAGTTACATTTCTACAGGAGGGATAAAATCATTTGATGGCAAAAAATGGCCTAGTCGACGTGTTTTATGCATTGACGATGAAACATGGTCATGGCAACGCTGGGAACAGCAAATGTTGCTATTCAACGTTGCGACATCGAGCCCAAACCAAAGAGAGCGCGTATTCCGCCTTAAATTATTCGCGAAGTCGAGTTGAAAATACTTCTCTGAGCAATATGACTCTATAATGGGAGGGGATATCTACGCATGAGATCCGTTCCAGGAGGATAATACTTGTTACCAGCCTGCGAAGGATGCGAAGATTGCTGATGGACCCTCTTTCCCCGTTTCCAATACACCCAGAGCGATTGGCAACTTGCATTTCCGGCAAGAAGCTGGTGATTTAGAAGGTAGCCAAAGAAAGTAGTGAAACTGTGCTGACGCATGTTCGCTGCAGAAAACGAGTATTTTAATGTGTAACAACATCCATTCAACTACCTTGTTCCCTTGACGTCAACCAGATAAACGTAAATTACTTTAGGAGGGGGGGGGTGGGGAGGGAGGGTGACGGGGAGAAGATGGGCTAAATTGTTTTGTAAAGCGCGTGGAATTGAAGTGAGGAGTTGGGAGGCCGTTTTAAAGATCAATGCTGTGGAAAATGTTCCATTAAGACAACGAATTTGCTTTGGCGATGAGGTGCTCGAACGAGCAACCACTGGGTCCAGTGGTTGCGAAATCTTTTGCATAAATGCAACCATCGTTGCGTAATTTGTACACTAAGACCAACCACTGATTTCACAAGGGTGCAGAAAGATATTCCACATAGTACACATTTCAGAGTCATCAAGTTCGTTTCACACAGGAAAGACGCTTCTGACAGACTCATGCGATAAGGTTAACAGCAGGCAATGCTTGGTTTAGAAAGGCTGGAAAAAAGACGATTCTCCACTTGATCCAAGTCAGAAATGGAGATCGTTTCCAGAGTGCATGGGTTGTCACAAGTCTTTTGCTTGACCAGCGCCTTAAACTGCACACAGATTCGGAAAAAGGGATGACGGTTCTTGCTCTCAACTCTTCATTTTTGTTTACCATTAAAGGCGTCTAGGTGCTTCGCAGTTCCCTTACTTAAATTTAAAGCCTATTTAATTGTGCAAGCGAACTAAATGGCCTCATCACCTGGTACCGGAGATAGGCGTGGGTACGGATAAGAACCATTTTAGACGACACAAACCACTCAAAGCGCATGAATTGTACCAAAAAGATAGCTGTTTCAGTTGCAGACTTAGCAGCATCACTTTGTCAGCATGGCTTTTGCTTCATTGCATTCCCATCGACAGTTCATTAGCTCTTCTGTATCTTTTTTAAAAAGTCCCATTCAGACCCATTAATTTTACAACGTCTTCAGAGCTACCTCCAGGACAAGGAAATTAATTGGTTTTGCGAGACCCGTTTTAATTACAAATGAGCTTACCAAATAACAAGTGGCGTGTTTTAGAGGAGTTGCCCGAATGCCACAGGTGGCGGCGCTGTAATACGCTCGAAATCCCTACCTCTTGCAAGGAATGTAACAATTTTCCTTAGTGTCTCAAAAGGGCTTGGATATAAACAAACAGACCGCGCATAACTAGACAACGGTGTGATGGAAAGGCATCAACTTTCCACCAATGTGCTTCAAAACACCCAAACGGCCCTGAGAGATTCCATTTCGTTAGATTTTAGTTTGATTTGAAACAGGCGTTTGATGATAAGCTAAGCTTAATAAAGCAGATTTGACAACAAGGCGGATGTTCCAGTTCTTACCACTTCCCGCTGGGATCATCAATCACATCTTTGTGGGAGATTACCATGGCTGGGCTCCCACATCAAAAAAACACTGTTTAGGTTAATGCTTTGGGGGGTTTTGACACATGAAGATAGCCTTATTACCTATCAAAAATAAGATTCGGAGCCTGATTCTTGAGACCCACCATCCCATCAAAGGGATTTATTTGAATCATCACCACAGAGAGGCGGCTCCACCTGGCGAGATCGACTGAGAGGTCTTATTAACCTTATCATAATCAAAGGCACACAGCTGCCGGCAAAAGTTCACGACCTTGTGAACTGACTTAATGAAACACTGAAATATGACCTCATAAGGGACACATCTGGCATTGCTACTGCCTGGGATTACTTTTCTATGAATTCAAGTCGACAACTAATGGAATAGTCATTTTCTGTAATAAATACCCGTTTACGGAGAGGGCTGATACTTTTGGCCGAGTTTTCAGAAAATGATTCCATTTTGTCCGTAAGATCAGATCGATAAGGAATCCGGCTTCGAAAACTGCCCCATGGGGTTTAACAAATTGACCGGTAAGGGGTAGTGAAACGCCCTCTTGCAGCAACCAGATTAGTAGAATGGTACCTCAACCATTGTTAAGCCATTCAACCCTAGTGGGAAGCGTTCAGGAGCTAGATTCACGGAACTGGACTCAGACTGCATTATCAAAAGGCCATACAGATTTATTATTCAACATATGAGGAGCATGTATGGTCATTACCGGATAGGTATGGAGTTTCCCGAAAAATTGCAGAAACTCTTTTAGAATAGTTTTCCCATTTTTATACTCTTTTTCTCAAATCAAATGAACTGGCCTTAAGCGGTAGATAACACCTATTTTTGACGGCTCTGTTCTAGCATTCAGTATTCGGAAAATCAAAAATCCCCTTCCCCCTGATTCAGTCAAAACTAGTACTAGAATTAGATATTCCCAGGGAAGTTTGAAATGGAGATGCTTTTGACATTACAAATTAGCATGTCAGTGAGTTCATTTCTCATGCCACTTAATTAGCACTGCTGACAAATCCTGCCCAAAGACCATTTGGAATTTGGACAGTGGTTAACACTACGCAAATGGTGAAATGCACGGGTTATGTGATGCAAGCGTAAATAGTGTAAAGTGGAGTCTTAAGAGAGCAAACATCCAACAGTCATCTAATGCTACATTCCAAAAGCTTGCCTTAAAAAATCTCAGGAAGATTCTGTGTAGTTAGTCATCGAAAACGTGAAAATTGTAAATAATGTGAGGAAGAACCAAAAGTTCTTATTCTGTAAATGCTGCGGTGAATAATAATAAGATTCTCCAAGTTCCTTGCCTTTAGGATGATTAGCCAGTTCTTGACCGCTTGGTCCTAAACATTCCCCTCAATGATAATATTGAAGTGGTTCCGCTAAGCATCTGTAATCACTTATCCAGTTGGTCAGCTACCACGAAACAGACAATAACAACAACTTCTCGGTCAATCTTCCGAGTAGGTACTGGCAATTGCCAAAAATAACTTGCTTCTCTCAAAAAGGTAAACTTTCCTCAATGAGGGAGACTTCAGTTTGTTTAAGGAAGCAAAACCAGTGCCAACTCTCCAATCTTACGCATTTTTAGGATTATACCAACATCCTAGTACACCGTGGCATGCAGTTCGCGACCCCTGCCCTCACTTTCAGAGTTAAAAACGCAGACCATCAAGAAATGGTTAGTCAGTGTCAAGTGCTGTCTATTGGCCCGACTTCTCCGGATAAACGACTACCTAAAAACAGATTAAAGCTGTCGTCTAGTAGAGGCTGATGCTAATTTTTTATCCGATTGCCAAGCTGAAGAGGGTGATTTCTCGGAGCTCATCCATCTACTTCATTAGAAAGCGGAAGAAATTCATTGATTTACCTTCCATATTTTTGATAGTCTGGTATTATTGGGGCTAAATTCACTGAGGCTAGTTTATTGGCAACTTGGCCACTTTAGATTAAAATCGTCCATCCTGATTAGACTTTTAGTGAACGGTAGCTGACGCTATTTTGCCCCCTGTACCAATGCTAACGACGTACACTATGACTTCCACGTCGCGGAAAGTGGAGACTTCAGGAAGATAAGATGTGACCACGAAGAGCCACACCTTGGGGCTCTCGTAACAGCCGGAGTGATAAAGGGGAAGTATGTCATCAAACGGTAATGACATGTAGGGAAAGCAGTGCTGACACCTCGTGACACAACGCAGAGGGAAGGATACGAGCGTGATTGTAGCGCCCATGAAACGCGCCATATTCGGCAATGCTGTGTCACGCTTCGGTGGTGGCGGGATTTCGCGCACAACAGGCGATGCGTAAAAAGTAACTATGGCCACAAAATATCTTAACAAGACGGTGGGGGGGGG